TAAACAGCAGAATTATAACCAGAAAAACAATGGGTCCATGCAGCCAGTCACTACTTGAGGAAATTGAGCAGAGACGAGGTTGAATCATCTGAGTGTTTATCCCAACACTGCCAGCTGTGTGAGAGAGCAGCAGATCACCCACAAAAATCTGCTCTGCACCCCAACATAAGCCAGCTGCTTATATTGGATAGAAGGACAAAGATTACAAGGGAATGTAGACAAAAGGTATCCAGATGGGCAGTTTGCAGGTCTGGAGATTTGCAAAGGCCTGTGGTATGCAAAGGGCTGGGGGTCTTCAAAGGGCTGGCAATCCTGGTTTCTGCAACAAGGTTAATCTTTCCATGATAACAGGCAGCTCCTGATGGGAGGAAGGGATGCATTTCCAGATAGGGTAGAATGTGCCTTCTTTAATCAGAATAAAACAATCATGGTTAACAGAGCATGATTAATATTTCTTATAATTCTAGCTGGTCCCCGATATTCTATTTCTGCCCCTAACAGAATGAATGATAGGGGATGAACAGGATAGCAAAATGGGAGTATCAATGTCTTTTTTTCAGGTTTCTGGATTCATAAAAATTAAACAACATATTCTGCTGATGAAATTTCAGGAGATGTAAGGGACATCAATAAATACAGACAGACATGAGGCTATTTCAGAGTGAAAAGATAGTTGAACAGATGGTAATAATTCATCATGTACAGCAGCAACTATAGTATAAGGAACTGCACTCCATCCTGCTTTTTAACCTCATTTGCCAGATGAGATCCCAACTCCAACTCTCCAGGGAATGGAGTTGAGATCTTCATTCTAATGCAATAAAGAAAAAGTTCTAATGTATCAATTCTTAACTCTTTTGCATGTTGAACAACTTATTGTGTGTCCATGTAGAACATATAGTTTTAATATTATAAAACATTATAATACTACTAGAGACCCAGTGCACAAATTAGTGCACCAGTGGGGTCCCTCAGCCTGGTCTGTGGGATCGAGCCAAAACTGGGTCTCCAACATCTCCTGAGGGGTCCAGATTGTGAGAGGGTGCAGGCCAGGCTGAGGAACCCCACCAGTGCACGGTCGGGGCCAGGGAGGGATGCAGGAGATTGGCCAGCTGGGGAGGGACCATGGGAAAGCTCCAGGGCATGTCCAGTCCATCTCTCTCACTCCCAATCGGCTGGACCCTGGCAGCAAGCAAGCTAACCTACTGGTCAGAGTGTCTGCCCCCTGGTGGTCAGTGCACATCATAGAGAGTGGTTGAGCAGCCTTAGCATATTATTACCATATGACTTAATGATGCTATGTGGATCACTTTTGAAATGAGACAGATTGGACACAGTACTATTAGGGACACATTTATTTCTCTCTCTGAGCATTCATATATCTGCATATCTACATCTTTATATCTGTATAGACATAGGTAAAAATATAGAGGTAACAATATATTGTAGAATGTTCTAGTATGAGGCAGCAACACACCATCTATTATTGGACTTGGTTTCCCTCTTCTGCTTCTAAGCACCTTGGACATTTCAAAACTGTCCATCATTCTTTGTCCTTCTACAGCAGTGGTTCTCAACCACTTTGATAGGTTGAACAGACGACCGGATGACCGGACACTTAGCATATTAGGCTTTTATTATATAGGATTTTCATTAAAATGATATTACAAGCCCTGCTTTCCAAGAAGGAAACCAGAGCTGGATATGTAACTTGCTCAGCATCTCCCAGCTGGCATGCAGCAGAGCCCAGGTTCTAAGGAATGGATGTGTCCACAGTGCAGGCTGTCTCAGCACACCTTGCAGCTCGGAGACTGTGACACATGCCCTGTACTGGGGTCTTGTGCTGGAGGCAGGCCAGCAGAGGCTGGTGTTTGGAGCCTGGAGGACTTTATAATGCGTTTCCAGTCTCAGCATAGATGATTCACCCTCATTCCCTACATGAAATTGGACTTTCTCGAGTTATAGGCAATCTTTGTAGGTTGAATCGTGTGATGTTCCCAAAACTTCAAAAATAAAGCAATTCCTGTTCTGGGTCTTTTGAAATGGGTGTGTTTTCCTCATGAATTTCGATGGATTTGGGGAGGGAGGCTGGGCAGAGTTTATCTTCTCTCCCCATGAGGCATCTCTTACCTTATGCTCTGGGAAAGAACCTACACACCATCCTGAGAACTGCCTGAGGCCACTCTCCCCTTGCCCTCTCCTGGATGCTGTTGCTAAGAATAGCAGCACCGGCCACCTGTGAGACCCCGATGCCTTTATGTATGATGGTCAGCATAGATTTCTGTGGAATGCCATTCATTTGGTGAATAATGGACCTCCTTGCATAAACACCCTCACTTCATCTTTACAACAACCCTGTATAGTCGGCCTCATTGCTGCTTTTCGGATGTTACTGAAGAGGAAACTGAACTTTAGAGAAGTAATAATTTGACAAGGTTGCTAAGACTTGCATGCCAATCCAGATCTTCTGACTCCAGAGCCTGACCACATACACTAACCTTCGCCCACCCATGGACCAAAGAACCACCTTGAATACTTAGCTTCCAGAGCCATGTTTTAGTACAAGCATGTGTGGGTTCGTGAATGCATCCCCTGAATCCACCTAATGGACTGTTTAGAGCAAATCTTACTTGTTTGAAAACCCTTCAGAGCTGACTTCACATGGACCTTCCCCAGGCGAAACCACAGTACCCGCCCTAGAGCAGGGAGCAGGAGCTGGCCCATGGAGGCTCTCACGAGGGCCACTGTCCACTGGCCTTTACTATTGTGTCCAGGTCAGGGCTTAACCTACACTACTGCCAATGACTTGGCAGGAGAGGGGGAATAATACCAATTTACCCATTTGCTGTCAGTCTTTACTCTGCTATCTCCCAGGGGAAATGTAGTCAGAGGACAAGGGTATCTTTGAAAGGAAAGGCAACAAAGAGACCGAAGTTTCCAGTAATCGCTATCTTCCTGTCACTCCCGCTGTGTTTGCAGTGGGGGCTTGTGACATCTAAGGGAATTGTGGGGAGTGTTTTGAAGCTCTTAGTGTCCCTTTGCATCTCCTGAATATTGCATATACCAATAAGTGCCAATAGCTGAATTATTAAAACTTCAATTCACCCTCAGGGTCCTGAGGCAGAGTTGGCAATAGTAGTGACTTTAAGATGAAAGATTGTCTGACAGCTTCCTTTTCCATCTTGCCAAAGATAGAATATGATTTTGGCAAAGTGAGTCAATGATTAAATGAATAAACAAATCAATTAATGGATGTATGAACAATTAGGTGAATGAATATACAGATATGAAAGTCTGTGTTCATTGGAAGGGAAATCTAAATCCATATGACTTAATGATGCTATGTGGATCACTTTTGAAATGAGACAGATTGGACACAGTACAATTGGGGACACATTTACTTCTCTCTCTCTCTGAGCATTCATATATCTGCATAGCTACATCTTTATATCTGTATAGACATAGGTAAAAATATAGAGGTAACAATATATTGTAGAATGTTCTAGTATGAGGCAGCGACACACCATCTCTATTATTGGACTTGGTTTCCCTCTTCTGCTTCTAAGCACCTTGGACATTTAAAAACTGTCCGTCTTTCTTTGTCCCTCTACAGCAGTGGTTCTCAACCTTCTGGCCCTTTAAATACAGTTCCTCATGTTGTGACCCAACCATAAAATTATTTTCCTTGCTACTTCATAACTGTAATGTTGCTACTGTTATGAATCATAATGTAAATATCTGATATGCAGGATGGTCTTGTCCCATAGGCCTCGAAGTATTTTTACTTCTTAGACCTTGGTTTGCGCATTTGCAAGACTGTGGAGGTGAGGGTGAGGGAGCCATGGGTGTCTATGTGGGGCTCCTCTTCAGCCCTGAGAACCGAGGAAGAGGAAGGACGTCACTGTGGTAAAGATGCTCAGATGACGAAAGCTTCCTGAGGTGTCCCCTTTCCTCCTTGGCTTCATCCATAAGCATCTTCAGAATTAAATTCAACCCCCATCACAGTAAATGCTTTGCCTAAGTTACTGTTACAGAATGTCTGTGCCTGCCAGATAGTGTCTTGAAACTTTATATTTTGGGTTGTTATTCCACAGTAACTGCCCTGCCACAGGGGAGATGGTTTTGCTGTGCTTATATTTTTATTTTTTTTTTACTGATGATAACACTGACCCCCCATAGTGAGGTGACTTGTCTAAGCTAGTTCTCAGCAGAGAGAGGTTTCACATACAGGCCTCCCAGTTTCTAACACTCACATCCCTCTCCTCTCTCCTAGCCTTCCATTTTCCCTGTTCTGGGCAAGGCATGTTTTAAAGGTCCCTGATTTAAAGGTCTTCGCCCCTGCATGTTCTTTTCCTGTAAGCCTCCGCAAATACTTTTGACAAACAGGATGAATAATAAAAAAAACTGCAGTTAAGTGCCTTGGAATTCAATGGGGAGTGCAAATTCTATCCTTGTTAACTGTGTGTTTTACAGAGACTCTGTGTGTAGGTCTTATTTCCCCTGGAACGTGTGGTTTTCTGTGATAACCACGGGTGCTAGTGTTTTTCTTGTGAAGGGGGGGTGTGCCAGTAGATGGAGGAGGGCTTTGGGGGACTCACACCCTGGGTTCCAGTTCCTGCTTTGTCACTATCCTGAGCAAGCTGCCTGAGTCTCTTCATTGCATTTCCCCCACTTCTGACCTGGCCGTGTCGGTTCCCTTCGGATTTAAGTAGCATTGATTTTAAATGAGATAATGGGATTAAATGCTTAGCTTGCAGCCTGTGGAATCAGCTCCAAAACAGCAGCTCTTGAGATTACTAACCTGCTTTCTCCACTAGTGGAGCTCTGTGAGGAGCAAAAACTCTCTGGTCAAAGCCTGGGCATGAGTAGAGCAGCCGGTGGTGATCATGGCCCCCTGGGGAGACGCCATCACATGGCCTGCACGAGCCTCTTTTTTCCAGTGTGATCCTTTTCTGAACTTTCTTCTAACCCTCCTTCCTTGGGCTGTGTTTTCTGGGCAGAGGACAAGATCTGGACGTCGGTGCAGCACAACAACACAGAGCTGACCCGTGTGCAGGGCGCCAGCCCCGAGAAGCCCTACTCCATGGCCTTGGACTACGGGGGCAGCCTGGGGCAGCTGGAGGCCGTGATCGACAGCTCGGAGCACTGTGAGCAGGAGGTGGCCTACTACTGCAGGAGGTCCCGCCTGCTCAACACACCAGGTAAAGCTCGCAGGCCCCCTGCTCTGGTTGGCCATGCAGGGTGACCACAGCGGCAGAAGGGCTACATAACCTGGAATATCACAGAGGTGGGTGTTTGCCCACAAGGGGGCTGCACTGAGCCGGGAGGGAAAGGCTGCTGGGCGAGGACTGTGATGGACCACCTACTGATGCCCAGGGTGGGCCGGGAGCAAGTTCCATCACCTCTTAAGGTCTCTCCTCATCTCCCAAAGGGAAGGACGGCCACACCCACCCTGCCACAGCAGTGACCATGAAAAGGGCCTTGAGAGCAATGGCACTTGAAGTGAGCAGTGGAGCCAGACATAAAAACGTGCAGGCGACAGCATATGGGAAAGCAACAGGGGCTCTGCACATTCCCCAAGAGCAAGGAGTGGTGTCTGGGGGCAAAGCGTTGGGGCGTAGTGGGAAACAATGAGGCCGGAGGGTAGCAGGTCCTGTGTGCTGCCTGAAATGCGGAGGCCTCTGGAAATGCATTTTATAAAAATAACACTTGCTTTCAGAAAAAAAATTAGATAAACCCTATTTTTTAATCTTTTTTTGATGGTTATTTTTTAGAGTGGATAGTTGATTTCGTCATTAACATGCTTGCAAGAACAAAGAACAAAACCAAACAGAAATTTCCTAGAACTGCTTACAAAAACACCCAGGCATGTCGCAAAATGTCAGGTGGGCTTGGCCACGATTATGCCCACCCTGGGAATCCATTTGTTTAGTTGCAGTGTGTGTGTGTGTGTGGGGGGGGGGGGGGGAGCTAGGGGGGGGGAGGGGAGGCTGCCCACCATGGGGATGTGAGGTGGCCAAAAAAGTGTGTCAGAATCTTTAGCGTCATGTAATTTAGAGCCCAGTGCTTGGAAGTTGGGAATGGTGAAAAACCTGGGAAAACTAGACCCTGAAATGTCAAAAAGGAGAAAGCCTGTGCACCTCACTAAATGTGACCCACAGCCGCCCTGATCAAGAATCTTTAGGGGACACCTTGTTCCACGTGAATGAGTTTTCCAGATAACTGTTTCTTATTCCTTTAAGCACCAGAAATCTTTAAAGGAGTTTCTAACTATTTGAAATGAAAATCTTTTTCAAATAGATTACATGCTTCCTTGCCTTCTTAAGGAGATAATTCCGAATATAAAATGTAACCTTTTCTTGATGACTCAGTACCATCACTGGGAAAATCAGTTATGCAGGGGGGTGGGTGCACGGAGCGCGCAGGCTGAGGTCGGAGCATGGTACCGGGCCCTTTCCCAGGCCTCAGTCCCTGTCCCTCTCCCTTCTCAGCACAAAATGCCTGTGTCTCAGCACCCGGCGCCCCCTCTGTCGGGTGTTGTTCCCAGTTTCCCAGGTTGGGTTTGGCGGACGTAGGGAGGAGGTGAGCATGTTGCTGTGACTCTGGGATGTCCTCCAGCATCTGCATTCTGTGCCGTCCGTGTGGCCACCCGCTGACGTCCTGCGTGTTTTATTTTTCTGCCGTCACTGCCTTTTGCTTGACGTGGACACTGAGCAGGAGGGGCGTGGGTTTGGGAGCAGGCCACGCTGGGAGTGAGGTCATGCCTCCTCTTTCTAGTTATGTGACTGTTCAAGTCACTAAACGTCTGGTTTCACCGCCAAACCATTTGCCTCAGAACCTGAGCGGCAGAGGCAGCAGGAAGATGGACAGAAGGGAGCCTGTGCTCCCACCACGGTGCGGGCCAGCAGACCCGGGGGCCGTGTTTCTTTCCTTGCGCACAGCCTCCAGCCCAGAGGGAAGGCCCCAGACTGGTGCCGGGATGGGAACCAAGCTCAGGGAGAGGCTGTCTTTATTTTAAATGTGTAAATAGAATGGTTACACTGATCATAACTCATGCGAGAAAACAATCTCACCCCCCAGAGCAGACGGATGTTGTATTTGGCGTGTATCCTTCCAGATGTTTGGCCACATGGATGTGCACAAAAGCACATTGGAACACACTGTATGTGTGTTGGGGTTTGAAGGTGTTCATTAATCCTCCCTTCCCCCATGGGTCTGAGTCAAAGGAGGTAGAGGAAGGAGGACAGTGGGCATGCTCATAGTGTCTGCGTCCTCCTGGTGAGCTGGCTTGAAAAGCTCAGTGTGGGCCAGAGCCCAAGGGGCCCCTGGGCCTCCACCTGCAGTGCTTGTGGCACTGGGTGAGGTGGTGCTGCTGATAGAGTGCCTCCTAGCAACGTGGCCCTAGCCTCTTACCCCTCACACTTAACGCCAGCCCAGGTGTGCTCACCTCATAGGCATGAGGCAGCCAATAGTGTGCACAGGGATCCCAGAGCCAGGGCACTGGCCTAAGGGCGCTCCTATCACCAATCCACAGACTGGCCGGCCCCTAAAGTCAGGGTTCTGGTCAGGGCCTCTCCTGGTCACACAGCTACTTTTCTTCATGTCCTCACATGGCAGGACTAAGGGGAGTGAACTTGCACTGATTCCGTTCCTGAGGGCTCCACCCCCTCCCCAAGACCCCCACCTCTTAATACCATCACACTGAGGGCTCCACCACCTCCCCAAGACCCCCACCTCCTAAGACCATCACACTGAGGGCTCCACCACCTCCCCAAGACCCCCACCTCCTAATACCATCACACTGAGGGCTCCACCACCTCCCCAAGACCCCCACCTCCTAAGACCATCACACTGAGAGGGCTCCACCAATTCCCCAAGACCCCCACCTCCTAATACCATCACACTGAGGGCTCCACCACCTCCCCAAGACCCCCACCTCCTAAGACCATCACACTGAGGGCTCCACCCCCTCCCCAAGACCCCCATCTCCTAAGACCATCACATTGAGGGGCAGGGTTTCAACTCTGTGAATGGATTTGGGCGGGACTCAATCAGTTCATAACAGGCACATACATGCAGGAACACTGTACTAATCCCCCTCATTAAAGCCAAGCGCTTACCCTGGAAGACCAGGGAGCATAGGGGAGATGGTGGAGACCCACTTCGCCTTACCTGGCCCTCAGTCTGGAAGAGCTGAACAAGCATCCCCTTATCTGCCCAAGCGGGAGCCTGTGATATTGTTTTACTCTCTGAATCTCTCTCTCTCTCTCTCTCTCTCTCTCTCTCTCTCTCTCTCTCACACACACACTGTACAAATACTGTCCCATATCAATAACTATGACTTCATGCCAAATGCTCATTAACAGCAGAGTCTTTCATTATGTGGTTGTGCCACGATGGAGTCTCCTTGGTGCCCAGCATCCCCTTGTGCGATTTCTTTCTGGTGTGAGTACTGGGTGGACGCACTTTTTCACCCCACACTGTGCACTGAGAGGCGGGTTGGGAACCCTTCCCCCATCCAGCTCTGAGCTCCCGGATCAGAGGTAAGAGGTCAATGCTGTTACAAGGAGACACCTTGATCTGAAGCCCATAGCTGCTGGAGAGCCTGGCCGAGTTTACTTCGGGTCAGTCATGCAAACAAGTTTGCCACTTGGGCTGTTCAAGTTCATCCATAGAACTAAGGATCAGTGCACTTCCAGCCCCCTTTCCCTGCCTCTAGGCCAGTGGTTCTCAACCTGGGCTGCACATTAGAATCACCTGGGAATCTTTTTAAAATCCTGATTTCTGGGCCTCATCCTCCTGAAATTCTGTTTCTTTGTTACTCATGTTGTGGCCCCACCTCATAGCAAAGAAACAGAATGTCCGGAGGATGAGGCCCAGAAATCAGGATTTTAAAAAGATTCCCAGTTGATTCTAATGTGCAGCCAAGGATGAGAACCACTGCTGTAGTCTAGGCCGTTCAGTTATCCCACTCATTTCCTGATGCAGCATGTGAGTGGTTTCCACCTGGAGTCAACTGCTTCCCCTGCTTATGTTGAAAAAAGGAAAATCCTATTTCCTTTAAAGTATTCTATAATTCTCAATTTTCCTCTTTAACTGATGATAGTTTAGTGAGCATATAGCAAATTAGCTATTGGCTACATATGCTAATATGTGGTATATAGTAATTTAGACTCTAAATCAGTGGTTCCCCACAGGGGGAAATTTGACTTTTAAGAGGGACAATTTGACTTTTAAGGGGGGAAATTTGAGAATGAGTTATTAACAGTGAATTTTTTGCATTTCTTATGGTTCTAGGGGCCTCGTATACAATATATAAGTATATTTTGTGACATATTTATGAATTTCAGTTCTCCATTATGTTTTGAAATGTTATTTGCTATTTTTTCATATCACTTCATATTATTATTTTAACAATTTTTAGTGATTTCTTCCTCAGTACTTCAACTGTCCTTTTGTTCTTTTATTTTTCTCTTTCATGGATGCCATGTTCTTTCAAAGCTTGTTTAGACCAAGTTAATGGCCTATTAGGCTGATAGGAGTTCACTTTCTGAATAATAAGAATTAGATGTGCCCTAACCTGTTTGGCTCAGTGGATAGAGTGTCGGCTTGCAGACTGAAGGGTCCTGGGTTCGATTCCAATCAAGGGCATGTACCTTGGTTGCAGGCACATCCCCAGTAGGTTGTGTGCAGGAGGCAGCTGATCGATGTTTCTCTCTCATCGATGTTTCTAACTCTCTATCCCTATCCCTTCCTCTCTGTAAAAAATGAATGAAATGTATTTTTAAAAAAATAATTAGATGTAACAGGGAGGGAATCAGAATTTTAGAGATGCTTAAGTGGGGCATGGCCAAAACAAGGTTGGGAATCACTGTTCTAAATAAATATATATGTCTGAATATACAAACACCATGTTTACTAGTACATATTATAGAGTCTATGCTATATAATAACATTGTGTATCGGCACCTATACTCATCATATACTCTTTGTATTCCCAAATAGACATATGAATGCACTCATGTGTATAGACCCTCAGGTTCCATGTGCACAAAACTAATCATTATGTTTAGAAATCTCAGTAAGAAATTGTGATACAGAATAGTCACATTGCTGATAAAGAAGTAACACTTCAAGGTTCTCTGGGGATTACTAAACGTAAAACACTTTGTGCCCAATACTTCATCCATTAACAGATGAT